AGACATTCGAAATATTAGAAGTAGACCGTAGCGTTAATATAGATAGAAATTGACAAAACAAAATGGTGATTGAAAACAAAACTTCGGCACCGGTGCGCATCGGTGCGAGATTTTTACATTCTTTCTGCGCATCGGTGCCCGGAAAAAAAATTATTCGGCACCGGTGCACACCCGTGCACAACCAGTGCCGATAAAATATTTTTTTGTAGGAAGGAATTGAATGAGATACTTTATAACCAAAAATAAATGCTAGCATGTTATGCTGTAACCAGAAGATTCTCGATCGGCTCCCGGAGTCTCTCTTAATTTAGTTGTACAAAATTCACTCGGTTTATGGACTAAGGAGAAAATAAACGATAATAGTGAAAACGAAGATGATAAAGTGGCAGAGTAAGCATCTGTCGAAACTTTTTACTGATTTCTCGAAGGGTTGGATTTAATACACTATTTACATTCCAACACTGAGCGTTATGCTTGACTGTCTAAAGGATTTCACGGATTATCCGCTAACAACTGAAGAGAAATACATGAAACTGAGAGTAAACATCCTCATCTTCTTCTGATGAAGATTCTTCTGCTTCCCTAGAAAAAGATATAAACAAATGGCATTAGTTTAGACGTAGATTAGAAAATTTCATTATCTTAAGTGTATATTATTCCTCATGTTTCCAGAAGGTTGTAAAGAACAATAATTTGAGGCTTCGAATGTGTTACAATCGAAATAACTCTGATCTTTCAGAGTTAAACCTGTCGTTGAATATTCATCGATATGATTAGAAAGTCACCTGATACTGACGACGGCGAGGATGATATAAAAAACCAAGACAAACAAATACCCACTCATTATTGAAAAAATGTTAAAAATACATTAAAAAATCCCCAACTCTTCCATATTATCGGGTGAACTAAGAAAATTAGCCAAGGAACAAGAATTGAACTGAATTGATTCTGGATATGTAAATTCCTTGACACTCCACCTTTAAAATGCTTCAACAGTTATTACTAATAAAATAAGCCTTAATGAATTTTCATACGTTATCATATTCTACTCCTGTGAACGATTTCGAATTATCTAATGAAGAATGGCGTGTACTTGATGCATTATTAACAACTTTGGATCCAATCAATGCTGCCACAGAGCTATTATCAGGAAAACATTACTCTACACTGCTTGTAGCATTTACAGTTCTGAGTTTATTAAAACTTTTTTAAGTAAGAATTCTCAAAATTCATTTCAACACTCAGTCAAAACTGCATTATTAGAAAGATAAGAATATTATTTTTGTGATCAAATAGATGAGCAGCAGCTAAACGCAATGAGATTAAGTATGACTACAGCGTTAGAGACCCACAAGTGTCTTCATATGTCGCTCAGATGTATATTATCTTAAGATGCTGAACTAAATTAGCAAAAGGTGAGTTTTTGTGAGCTTCATAGCTAGTTTTTAAAGCTTACGTTGGGGTAAAATATATCAGACAAATGAGTTTAGTGAATTCTAATATTTTACAAAAAAAGTTCTCTTAGATAACAAATTATCATCTGCTCAAAGCTGCGCTCTCGAAAAGACGAAACCACAGTTTTGAACAACAGTGTTAATAAACGATCACGTAATAAAACTGCATTTATATATTTTATCGTAGATAACAGCATATCTGGATCCAGAAACGAATATTGGTATAACAGCTGACGAAATATCGGTAGCCAAAGAACTGATAATTAAGGAAGTAACGTCACTGGCATCGTCAACTCCTTCTTCATCTTCTAATGAACACAAAGCAACAATTAGTCACACTTTGGAATTGGAATCATATTTGAAAAAATGTGGCATGTTATTAGCACCAACAAGAAAAGCAACATTACCTTCACTTTTAACAAGTACGACTATTAAACAAGAAATTTCTCTGTACTCAAGAATATCTAAAACGAATTATGATTTATCGATATGTTGGTTAGAATATCGGCATCAGCTACCGTTACTATTTACATTGGTTAAAAAGTATCTAGCGATATCAGCCACAAGTGTAGCTGGCGAAAGTACATTTTACAAAGAGCTAATAATTTTATAAGGTAAAATCGACTATCACTAGCTTCAACAACAAGAGAATGTCTATGTTTTTGAATGACAAAGTATAACTGTCTTGTTATACAGCAAATACTAATCTTTCTTATTGGAATTTAAACTTTTCAATTTCATTCCGTGTAGTAATGGCCTGAATAAGTAGATGTAAAGTATGTGGAACACAAAGTATTATGAGAGACGATTATTGAAACATTGATACTGTCCATAAAAGCTCTCAATCAACCAAAAATGTAGCTAGCATTTATGCTATGTGATGTAGTCTCTCTCTCCGAAAACACTTGCTACTGTCGCTAGTAGATAGCAATAGATAATAGATAGACAATAGATCTGCTACTTTGTTAATAAATAAATTCATAAATGAAGGTATTATTTTTGTCGCTTTTTTGGATTTCGAATTAAGAATATTAGTAAATTATCAGACAATATGTAGTATGCCTGCTCCTTGTACGGGTTGGTCGATTGCTCTCTACATTGATATTACTGGCAGTTCTTGTCCCTTCAACATCATTATTAATACAGTATTGTGTAATTTAATAACATTTTTCGTATCCTGTTCTATACATTCGAGTTCCTGAGAATTGAATCTTTTGAAAAAAAATGAATGGCTTGTCCAGCATCAGATTCAATAGCTATTTTCCCCCACAAAATCTAATTTACATAACATTTATTCGAAAAACTTGTCTACCCACTGAAAAATTTTAACATAGAAAGAAACGTCCGCACGCGTCTATTTTCATTTCGATATATAAAAAAACCATTATAATGCCGACGCTATTGTGTATAGCAAAGACTATGACGGCGCGATAAACAAGGTAATCTTTTTATCGCGTTGTAAAACGATTCAGCTTTTATTCCAGTTTTATCGTGCCATCACCTTGTTTTCGATACAAAACTATCAGCATTTATCGCACTTTTTGTTCGGAAAAGAACTACACGGGATATGTCAGAGAAAATGTGCTTCATAAAAAGAAAAGCGATAATCCCCCAATAGGATTGAACGGGTTGAAAAAGCTGATGAAACAGTTATTAAAAGATTTATTCAGTCAGACAAAGACAGGCCCGACTTAGTTATAGGGCATAATAGAACTCGATTATTCATTTTTGTCGTTTTTTCTAAGATAAATAAATAGTTTCCGAAAAATCAAGAAAAACCTTGTTAGCTGTTCGAGAACTTAACGACAAGTCTTCCTTCTATCATATTCGTTTGTTACAAAAAGGTGAAAGACGGGCAAAGAGATAAACTATTGTTATTGCACAAACGGTGTCGTATATTTAAAAACACAATTGAAAAAAATTCATTCACGTTTATAGACAAACACTCTCCTTCTAAGCATATCTCTCACTGACAGAACAAGAAAAAGTTACATTACGCGTTTATTCCCTCTCTACCGTCTTATCGCGCACATCGACAGGAGAGACTGAAGAAATTAATTGTTTTTTTCACTTTATATCATTTCGTTTCATTGTACGGCCTTCACTCGTATACAAAACAGGTTTTTCAATTTACACTCTGGATACTTGTTAAGTACAGTTTTCAGAGTTCATACCCCCTTTCACATACCATGCCACACAAGCAACTACTGAAAACTACGTTAGAGAATGGTGTCACTCTCGCCTATCGCCTTTCTCATCCAATCGACAAGTCACTACCAACCATCGTCATGTTTCACGCTTTCCTAATGGATTCACGCCTCTACAGCCCTCAATTTAAGGACGCTC